CTGGTGACCTGTCCAGGGTGTATCCTGCCTTCCGCCCAATGACAGCTGGGATAGGCTCCAGCACCCCACCGCGACCCAGAAGGAAAAGCGGTTTAGATGATGTATGTATGTTTGTGTGGCTTTAAGTTTTTTAACACACATGGACTTGGCAGTGAATGCCATGTTTACATGATTGGAAAATGTAGTTGTCCATGATATGGGCTGTTTCATTGATAATTCTATTTAACATTAGCAATTAGCATTTTTGGCTGAAGCGTTTGTTAATATTTGCCATTAATGTTATACAAACATTTTTAAAGCTTCATAGTTGAATCGATATGTAAACATATTCAATTGAAGTGGTTTATTGTGTGAAATGGTTCATTGAGTGAAATTTACCAACTTGGATTTATTTACAGTGGTAGGAACCTGGGGTCATGGTGTCTACAAGAGAAAAATTGTCATTTTATTTACAGTTCAAAATGACCAGTGGACCTACATATGCTTTCAGAGGTTTTATGTAATGTTGATAATAATACAATAGTTGTAACATGTAAAGTTGTAAAGTGTTATTGGGTACTATTTTGCCTTAAGTGCTGGGATAGGTCCAGCACCCTCTGCGACCCAGGAGGACAAGCGGCTTAGAAAATATGTATGTGTGTGTGTGCACCTTAGAACACCCTGCATGTAACTTTGCACCATAAATTTATTTTAAAATGTTTTAAACCAAAAGCTTATTGCCAAACTACCATATATACTGTCATGCATCATATATACCATCATTACAGACTGTAGTCTAGTGGTCTCCAACTCTGAATCAGATGTATTAGAGTTAAGCAAGAGGTGGGGCAGCTTATTGGATATGAAACCATATAAAATGTCTCAGCGTATTCATAACCCTTATGTGTAGTAACTTTCTTTTGTTAAATTATCTTGAAATTTAGAAAAATCTTGGGAATTCTATTTTAAGAGCATATACTGTGCATCGCTGACCTACAGTGTCAATCATATTATATGCCATGTTAAAGTGTGCTAGACTGCATTTGTACAGTTGAATCTTGCTATTGTTCACCTTCACAAAGTAACTCCATGTGTAACCAGACTCGTTGTAAACCCCCCTTTTCCACAATGGCAATCCCCCAGTGGTCTTCAACTGCTCCCTGCCTTAAGTTCCCGTTTAAGCTTGTCAGGGACTTTGGTCGTCAACGCCTGTCCCTAATGCCCGCCTCGCACACAGGCATATGGCATGGCTGCAGCTGAGCTGCACTTTAGCTGCACTTAGCATTGAGGATTAGCATGGGCCTGCTCATTGCTGATTTGCAGAGGAGCTTTCTTCGAAGCTTTGTTTTTTTTTCTTTTTTTTTCCACCCCGGTTATCCTTTGGTTTACCCTCGCTTTCCCTTTTTAATGGGTGTCATTTTAGGTTTTCCTAGGGCAGGCTGAATTATAGATGAGCTGCTTATTTACTGGCTGCCGAGATTGCACCCAGACTTGGTGTTTGTGATTCTGCACAGCCATGCAAAAGAGGTGAGAAGAGCAGCCTACAGAGCTCGTAAGTGATGGCGAGGAGGTTTAGGCTCAGGTGTTGCAGTCAAATATCTGAAGTTCATGGCTCAAGTGACCGAGACATGTATGTAGATTCTCATAGACCACACAGACTGGCCACTTCATTACGTACACGTCCTTGTATCTGTCCATTTTATTAAGCTCACTTACTATATAGGTGCACTTTGTAGTTCTACAATTACAGACTGTAGTCCAGTGGTCTCCAACTCTGGTCCTAGAGAGCTACTTTCCTGCAGAGCCTAGTTCCAGCCACAATTTGCCGCACCAGCTGCAGCTAAAATACCTCTTCCCAAGTCCCTGATTGGCTGGATCAGATGTATTAGAGTGGGCGGGGCAGCTTATTGGATACAGGTTGGAACTACAGTGTGCAAGAAGGTAGCTCAACAGGACCAGGCTTTGAGTGTCTGGGGTTCTGTTTCACTGCATACTTTGTTAGCTACTTTTTACCGTTCTTCAGTAGTCAGGACCCCCACAAGACCACCAGAAAGCAGGTATTATTTGGGTGGTGGAGCATTCTCAGCACTTCAGTCACACCGACATGGTGGTGGCGTTTTAGTGTGTTGCGCTGATATGAGTGGATTAGACACAGCAGTGCTGCTGGAGTTTTTAAACAATTTCCACTCACTTTCCACTCTGTAAGACACACCTACCTTGTTGGTCCACCTTGTAGATGTAAAGTCAGAGACAGTAACTCAGCTGATTCTGCTGCACAGTTTGTGTTGGTCATTCTCTAGTCCTTCATCAGTGGTCACAGGACACTGCCCACAGGGTGCTGTTGGCTAGATATTTTTGGTTAGTGGATCATTCTTTGTCCAGCAGCGACAATGAGATCTACTCATACCAGTGCAACACACAATAACATGCCATCACCATGTCAGTGTCACTGCAGTGCTGAGGATGATCCAACACACAAATAGCACCTGCTCTGTGGGGTTCTGATAGAAAATCAGATTTTGCATCTTCGTGTTTTATATTTTCCTGTGCAATTGTTGTTTGTTCTGTGCGTTTGATGGTTTCCTTACATACTGTTTTGTCTCTGAAATGTTATTCTTCACCCCAGTGGTCCCTAAATGTCCTCTTATCCATGTGCCTGTTATGAACATTGTCTTATTCTTTCTTTAGCTCATAACTGGTAGCTACATGTTTGTTATTACAACTGTATAAGGGTTAGTGACAACTATGTGGGTCATCTCATTGGGTGAGGCGGTGGGGGAATTAGGGCAACCTTCTGGTGTGCCAAATCAGATGTGCAAGCAGACCGAGTTTGGCCCACTGGCCTCACTTTTGGCGGCCCTCCTCAAACCTGTCAATGCAGATTGTACATTGAATGCAATTAATTATGTAGCTGTGTAATTGCATTTAAATAGTATAGCACTGGGTTGCTTAAACCTTTTGTTGTTGGAAGCGAAGGTGCAATGTTTGTGGTGGGCCAATGGCCAAAAAGACAAAACGATACACATATAAAGAAGGTATTGTGATCATAATTATACTTTTGCATTGTATTTTGTTTCCAAAAGAAAGGTAAAATGTAATAAGTCATATATAGTATACAAATATATTTATTCTCTCATTGGGTGAGGGGGTGGGGCTGAGGTAACTTTCTGGTGGGCCAAATCAAACATGCTCATGAGACAGCTTGGGCACAGTTGGGCAGGATACTTTGAAAAAGTAGCAAAGGCTGATTACAGAGTAGACTGTACTAAATGTGTTTAGTAACATATTCGAATACAATAAATAAAAAGTAATGTATTCAGCATAAATTTGAAATACATGGGAAAAAATCTGCTGCTGTAATTTTGAATTTATTCACACAATTACTGTTTTTCTTCATGAAATTCCTCTGTTAATATGTTGCATGAAGATTTTGCTTATCATTCTAATGAAGTTCCAGAATTCATCACATGTTTTCATCCAGCGCTGCTCTCATAATCCCCCTAGCACGAATCCAGTACAACACTGCTAATGCTAAGCTTATCACTCACGAACATGCCCACTACTAAGGAGACTATTCAGTTTGATCATCCCTCAAAAGAGCTCAGTAACACTAAGATAAGTAACTAGCTCATCATTGCTTTATCAGTCTGCTCATTATCTAGCAGGAATGTCAGCATTTACAAAAAAGCTTCTGGACTTTGATGTGTTTTTTAAGTGGATTGGTATTCTAAAGGTATTCTAGTAAAGTGTAAAAAGTAACTGTATTTTGAACACTGCTTTTACAAAATGTAACTTTTGGGCAGAATACTTGAATACGGATACAGAATACTGAATCTGGATACTTCATTTCTGTATTCTGAATACATATTCCGAATACTTGTATTGCATTACATCCTAAATCTGCCCCTGGGCCACTTTGGGTGTGGTAATAACATGGTAATGGTAATAACTCTTGACTTTTAACCTCACTCTGCAGGGGGTCCTAATGGCCATTCCGCTGGCAGGATGGAAATTGACTCTAACATTTTTTAAGTGATAAACATTGATGACTGTGTATGAAATGTGTTGCTGCTAGTGAGCAATGAGAGGTGAAGTGGGAGGGATGAGAACTTTCTATACATAAAAACAGTGTACAACTGTCACAATAAAAATAGCATTTATACACAATAAAACACTGTTTATAAATGTGGACTTGCTTGCTTACTTGCTTGCTTGCAAAAATCCAATTTGCTTCTGGTTTTGGAAGTCATATTTCCCATCATTATTGAAGAAAATAAACAGCATGGTGCGAAAACAGAAGGACCTTCAAAACAGGTGGAAATTGCATATTATGGCTACCATGAAAGGGGGAAAGGCTAAAAGACTAAGCAGGTTTATTTTGAGGAAAGCATTTGCTTTGATGATATTAGTGACCTAGTAGTTTGGGAATAATGACAAAGCCCACACATTTTATCTGCTTGTTTGGATGTCAGCACTCATCAGCACTCAAACCTTTCAGGTGTGTAAATCACTTTTGGCCTAAAAGAGTTTCAGAATGTGCTTTTAGCCTTCATTTTGAAAAGACAAGTGCTCTTCATATCTAAAAAATGTTCTTTGATGATCATGAAGCTGAGTGTTGTGAAATATAAAGTATTAGTCAGTAGATGTTTAATATTACTTCACTGTTGCTTGTCTTAATTGAAAAGTATTGGTGAGAAAAGTGTGGGTTTCTGGAGAGTTTTGCATGATTGGATTTTTTTTCTCTTTTTTCTTGGAAATTTTGCAACAGCCGTGCATGTGTTAGCCTCACAGCCTTGGAGATGTGACAGCGCGATGCCGTAATGTCCTTGTAGCTGCTGTTTGAATCAAAGGTTCTGAAGTACCTTCGCAGTGAACAGAGAAAAGATTTTAATCACTGGTGACTTCCTGTTCTAGCCTTTCATCTTGGCAGGATCAGAAAAAAGGCGGAAATGTGCCATGAGTCTCATTTAATAGTAACAAAACAACAAAACAAGCCTCTTTATTTCCCCTGTTTCCAACAGAGCCGAGTGAACCCAGTAAATGTGACCCCCCCAATCCAGGCTGTGGATCAGGACAGGAACATCCAGCCTCCTTCTGATCGGCCAGGCATCATCTACTCCATCCTCATCGGTAGGTTTTTTCTGGCTGTTTGTGCTGTGGTGGTGCTATGATTTCAGAATGAGGTGTGCCTAGGGTTGCCAGCAATTTGAGAAATTGTGCTTTTGTGTTTTTGTTTTTTTCTTTTTTCTGGGGGGTTGTGGACTTCATTGCTATGACTTCATGGCTTCTCTTTAGTTCCTCCATCAGGTTGTCCATTTCAATTCATGAAATTAGCTAGCTATTTTAAAAGGAATAGTTTGGTAAAAAATCAAATTTACATGACTTTCCACTTACTTCAAATGCAGTTGATCAGCCAAGACGCGTTTGGTGTCCAAGTTTTGCTTCTTTGGTATTGAATTGGAGCTGCTAGGCTACGCATGCTATCAAACACTGGATGTCAATAGTCAGCAAAACAATTACCACAAATACATCCCAAAATCTTTATGTACTTACGTAAAATTATGTTGATAAGCTACATAAAGTATATGTAAAGTTTATATAAATTATTTAGTAAGATGGCATGAATACACTTTATTTACTCCATGTACCTTATTTGTTAAGGTACATTTGTAACTAAATTATCATCCACATAACATCACGTTTTCTGGTACTATTCTGCCTTCAAACTCTGGGAAGCTGGAACGCAAGGGCGTGTTGTAAAACATGACTACGCAAGTTTATAGAGTTAGCGCAGTAATGCCTACGGCTTGCTTACTATAAGAGTTACAAGGTGCGTTTTAAATAATGATAAACCTATGAAAATGAGGAGTTGCATTCCTTTTAGCAAAAACAGAACAGAAGAAATCTATTAATAGTTTGATACTTTACTACTGATTTCCTACTAATGCAAACGCATGTAAAGGCCTTTGGCAATGAGTCACAAACTTGCAAGAGAGACATTCAGTAAAGTTACTGTGCAGAATCTCCAGTGGGATATTCTAAAATTTACAGCTGCTCCAAGTACATTATTACAGATGACATCTCAAAGAAATCAGTCTGGGTCGCTGCATCCACAAATGCAAATTAAAACTCAAAAACGCAAAGAAGAAACTATATATTATTAGCATACAGAAACACCGCTGCCTTCTCTGGGCCTGAGCTCATTCAAAAAGGACTGAGGGGAAGTGGAAAAGTGTCCTGTGGTCCGACAAATCAACATTTGAAATTCTTTTTGTAAATCATGGACCCTGTGTCCTCCGGGCATAAAGACCACTCAGCTTGTTATCAGTGCACAGTTCAAAAGCCAGTATTCATGATGGTATAGGGGTGCATTAGTGCACATGGCATGGGTAAGGTGCACGTCTGTGAAGGCGCTGTTAATGCTGAATGATATATGCATGTTTTGGCAACATATACTGCCATCCAAACAACGTCTTTTTCAGGAAAGGCCTTGCTTATTTCAGCAAGACTATGCCAAACCACATTCTGCATGTATTTCAACAGCATTGCTCGGTATTAAAAGAGTCCGGGTGCTAAACTGGCCTGCCTGCAGTCCTGACCTGTCACACACTGATAACATTTGGCGCATTATAAAATGAAAAATACGACAAAGGAGACCCCGAACTGTTGAGCAGCTGAAATCCTACATCAAGCAAGAATGGGAAACATTCCTCTTTCAAAACTACAGCAATTGGTCTCCTCAGTTCCCAACGCTTACAGAGTGTTGTTAAATGAAGAAGTGAAGAAGTGAAACACAGTGGTAAACATGCCCCCGTCCCAACTTTTTTGGAACGTGTTGTTGTCATCAAATTCAAAATGGGCATATATTTTTCAAAAAACAATGAAATTTCTCAGTTTCAACATTTGATATGTTGTCTTTGTGGTATTTTTCTTTAAAAACATGGTTTACGTGATTTGCATATCATTGCTTTCTATTTTTATTTACATTCTGGACTGTTGAAAAATTACAGGACAAAACAGTAAAGCAAAAGTACCCCTTAACCCAATTTAACTCTTTACCGCTGTTATTTTCACACAGTTAGCTGAATAAGAGGACTCTCTTACCAGCACAGGCCTAGTGTAGACAATTTTGTCACAGTTCTCATATGAAAAATCTTTGAAAAACATTATGGACATTGGTAAACACAGCTGTGTTGCTGCTTGTTAGGCTTGGTTCAGATGGTTAATATTATTATCCTCGACTACTGGTGCACAGTAATGTAATCAAAGCTCAGAAGACATTTTCAAGGCGGCCAAAAGTCACTGCAATTTGATCGATGATTAATGAAAAAAAATGTCATTTAAATGGTATAGTTTGATGAATTATGCTTAACATGAACAGGGACATGAACTAACAAGGTAAAAACAGGAGTTGTATCAGTAATAGTTTTATTTTCATTCGTAAACATGCAGTAATGCATTTACAAACTTAAATTGCACAACGGAGTGAGCCAGTGAAGAGCTCAGTGAAGGGCTTGGGCCTTGGCCTACCAGAGCCTGTTACTAGCATCGCGCCTGTCTCTGGGCTCTCTGTTCAGGCCATGCTAGTGGGTCAGGCCCTTTCCCGAGAGGAAACAGTGATTTTCAGATAAGCATGACGGGTCTCTCAGTGCAGCGGGAGGGGAATACAGGCCCACCCGTGGAGCTCTGAGATGAGACCCGGCAATGTAGCAGCAGGCTCAAGGGGGTGGGTGAGGGGGAGTTGTGTTGATCCAGCATGCCCACAGGTTTCAAGCAACAGGGTGAGTCAAGCCTGCTGGCAGGAAAGTCAGACCATAGTGTGAACCACAATGGCCTTCTATTTTTCAGTATCAACACAGCAGAACAAAAGCTGCTGTTTTGTTCAGGAATTGTTCCTGCTAGATTCTTAACCAGGACTAAGAGAAAGAAGCACATCACTCCAGTTTCTTAAAACTTTTGTAATATCAGAAGATTGTAATACAACCCTAATTCCATAAAAGTTGGGACACTGTGTAAAATGTAAATAAATGCAAATAAAAATATGCAGTGATGCAGATCCCATAGGCCCATATTTTGTTCACAATGGAACATAGAACATACATCAGATGTTGAAAGTGAGGCATTTTACCATTTCATGAAAAACATTAACTCATTTAGAACTTGATGGCAGCAACGCATCTCAAAAAAGTTGAGACAGGGGCAACAAAAGGCTGAAAAATTAATTGGTACTATTAAAAAACAGCTGCAGGAGAAATTTGCAACCAACTTACATGACTGGGTATAAAAAGAGAATTTTAGAGAGGCGGAGTCTCTCAGAGGCAAAGATGGATAGAGGTTCACCAATCTGCAAAAAACTGAAAAATTTCAGAAAAATGTTCCTCAACATAAAATTGTGAAGACTTTGGATGTCTCACCATCTACAGTACATAATATCATCAAAAGATTCAGAGATTCTGGAGAAATCCCTGTACGTTAGGGACAAGGCCGACGGTCAGTATTGGATGCTTGTGATCTTCGTACCCTCAGACAACAGTGCATTAAAAACAGGCATGATTCTGTACTGGAAATCACTGCATGGGCTCAGGAACACTTCCAGAAATCATTGTCCGTTAACACAAATGCTGTTTAAAAACAAAAAAAGTTCAAGCTGTATCATCCAAAGAAAAAGCCATATGCCAACACAATCCAGAAACGCCGCCGTCTTCTCTGGGCCAAATCTCATTTAAAATAGACTGAGGCAAAATGGAAAACTGTTCTGTGGTCAGATAAATCAAAATTTGACATTCTTTTTGGAAACCCTGCAGACTCAAGAAGAGAGGGACAATCCTGCTTGCTATCAGCACACAGTTCAAAAGCCTGCATCTCTGATGGTATATGGGGTTGCATTAGTGCTTATGGCATGGGCAGCTTACACATCTGGAAAGGCACTATCAATGCTGAACAGTATATAGAGGTTTTAGAAAAACAGATGCTCCCATCCAGACAGCGTCTCTTTCAGGGAAGGCCTTGCATATTTTGGCAAGACAGTGCTAAACCACATACTGCATCCATCACAACAGCATGGCTGTTGAGGACTGTTGAGCAGCTAGAATCCTACATCAGACAAGAATGGGACAACATTCCTCTCCCAGAACTCCAGCAGTTGGTCTCCTCACTTCCTAGACGTTTACAGACTGTTAAAAGAAGAGGGGATGCTACACAATGGTAGACATGGCCCTGTCCCAACTTTTTTGAGATGCGTTGCTGCCATCAAGTTCTAAATGAGTTAATATTTTTCATGAAATGGTAAAATGTCTCACTTTCAACACCTGATATGTGTTCTATGTACTATTGCAAATACAATATGGGTCTATGACATTTGCAAATCATTGCATTCTGTTTTTATTCATGTTTATTTACATTTTGCACAGCGTCCCTTTTTTGGAATTGGGGTTGTATTTACTTTTTATACATTTTTGCTTATCCTGCTGTCCTTGTCTGTGTAGTGTGCTTTGAATTACTGCAGTGTATGAAATGCGTTATACAAATAATCTTCATTTGCCTTACCTTTTGTGTAATAGCACATTACCCCTTATCCTGTCTGTAGTGAGTGGTGGCTGCACTGAAATAAATGGAATAAAATGAAATGAAATAAATAGCATGGAGTGCATTTTGAAACTGTGAAAAGCCAGAATGGCTCATTATTTCCAGTAACAAACTCCTGTGTGTTATTATAATGTTGAATTATTATTATTATTATTATTATTATTATTATTATTATTTATTCCCATCATGTTTTTTTTCTGTTATTTATTGATGCATTCTTTTTCTCTGTGATCATCTGTGATAATGTCCTGTGGGAGAGGAGGTGGGGGACATTCTACAATATTGTATTAAGTGTTTTGAATATTCTGTCTGAGAAGAAAAACATTTCATTTCTAATTCACTTTTATGAAAGTCTGTCATTTTATTAATCCCTCTCTCTCCCCTCTTTTGCAGGCAAACCTGCGTCCTATGCAGAGTACTTCTCCTTGAACAGCAGCACAGCTGAGCTGAGGCTGCTGCAGCCTGTCAGTCGTGAGCAGCACCAGCGATTCGACTTGGTGATCAAGGTAAATAGAGCTGAATAAACTGATGCTGGATGTGGGAGATAAATCATCTAGTGAGAAGGAAAAGTCACAGAAGTAGGATGAAAGTACACAGTCTGTTTATTAACACAAATTCAGGAAGCGCTGTTAAAATCCACTGCAGGTACAGTGGTAGGCTGCAAGATATACAAAATACTATAATTACAGTGGCAGTAGAATGGATCATACTGAAAAGCTTATTGACTTTCAACCTGGCACTGTCATAGGATGCCATCTCTCCAACAAGTCAAATTTCTGCCCTGCTAGACCTGCCCTGGTGTTATTAAGTGCTATCATTGTGAAGTGGAAACGTCTAGGAGCAACATCAGCTGGGCCATGAAGCAGTATACCACATAAGCACATACAATTGGCTGTCTTCAGTTGCAGCACTCACTATATAAGTTCTAAACTGCCTCTGGAAGCAACGTAAGCATAAGAACTGTATGTCAGGAGCTTCCTGGATTGGGTTTCATGGCTTAGCAGCCACACACAAGCCTCAGATTTCTATGCACAATGCCAAGCATCAGCTGGAGTGGTGTAAAGAACACCACCATTGGACTCTTGAGCAGAGGACACGTACACAATAAACATGGCAAAATTGGTTTGAAACTCACCTACGTATTTCACCTTCTGTGATATCAGTACCTCAAAGGCTAACATTGCAAAAATGATTAACAACTGAAATGCCACCCTACTTAGAATTGTATTCGTACATACAAGCAGTGTTCCAAAAGCTAGGGTGTAGCCTAGGTGGGCTGCATTTTACGTCATTGAAGGCTATTTCTATCAGAACCTTCAGAATGAAGCTAAAAAATATATTCTGACAGTTTTTTAAGGACACGACAAGAGTATCCTTGAGTCACCCATAATCCTTTGCACACACTTATAAAGACACAAATAATGACGACAAAACCACCAACTAGGATTCCTAGACTTATCCAATTAAGTTGCCAGTACTAACGGTAAAGGTGCTATGCAAATTATACTACGTGTTTCAAAAGGTCAGTAAAATGTATAGTCAAATATACAGTATGCTCTTTCTTTAGTGTTTCTGTTCAAGAGGGTGTGAATTGAATCCAGGGCATAAAAACTTAGCTAAGCAGTATTTAGCTTGCCGAATGGCATGCTGTTAATTACAAATAAATTAATGTTTTGCTTGTCAGCTTACTAGTATTCAGAGTTTTTTTTTCTGTATCAGATTTCATACTGATGATGTGACAAAGTGGTCTAGGCAAACCATTCTGTTTTGCATTATGTAGTACAAACGAGGAGCCTTCATAAGAAAGTCCTACCAAGGACCCACCTTTCTAATACAGTCAATCAAGAGGACTTACTATAAAACGATATAAATGTAATGGTGATGATGAGGGGGCAGAGACAGCATGTTCCTAAAACTGATGACAGTGCGAGAGGAAGAGAAACAGACAGATTTCAGTGAGGTTTCAGCACAGACCTACGGATGAGCTTAGCTCAAACAGTCGGGGAAGTGTGTGAAATGCTAATAAAAAATAAACAAACAAAGAGTTCTTATTTGCATTTCATAGACTGTCAAAACAGTTTTAGAGTTAAGGTCTGTAAATCATGGACCACAAATCTACACTGGTGTTTATGCAAGAGTGGAGTGTAGTGCTGAGTGCTTTAGTGTAATGATCCATAAATAACATTGTACATGCCACTGGGCTCCTCACACCAAGAGTAAGTCTGTGTGTATGTGTGGACTTGAACTGATATGTGGATGAAACATTCCCCTCTAGCTGGAAGCTTAGCCTGTAGATGCTCATAGGATCAAAAAGAAGTATGTGGCTATGAGATATGTGGCTATGCAGCCATGCTACATGGATAGTGTACGTGGTGTGCTGGTGTTGCACAGTGGGAGACTGGAGATAAAAACGGACATAAAAACGTGTGTGCACACACGTGTGTATACACCCACTGGCCACTTTATTACCTTGTAACTCCACCAGGCTCGTGCAAAAACATTTCAGGGCCAGCCGCTCAGTGATTAAATAAGGCAACATGAATGCGAATTTAACTTCAATTAATTTGGGGAAAAAACTCACCACTAGGTTCTAAAACATTATCACACTGTGTCTTTTAATAAGAGTCACAGTGTAATTATGTTTCAGCTGAAACCAGACCTGTTGTTTTTTTTTTTCACAAAGCAGACAAAAATTTTTGCCACTGTGAACTACTGTGACTTTACCTTCTATGCTACCTACTTACTATGAACTCATGAGCTCAGAACCTGACATAATTCCCTATTTTTACTGGACCACCCAGAGCAAAGACATTTGTTGACATGCATCATGGGTCTTATGAAACTCAATAATGATGAAATATCAAAGCAGTGAATATGTGTCTGGCTTCAGTTGGAATTTTTCCTTCGTCTTGCATTATATGCAATATTATTACAGTCACCAAGTACTAGTGCTTGACCAATAAGTGCACTGAACTGTAAACTGGTGTACTGTTATGCTGCTTTGGTAACAATTTTTAGAAGTTCGATCTATTTGCCAATATAGCGTCAGCTGGCTCGGAAGCTATAATGCTAGCTGATTAGTATATATTAGCCTAAAAACTCCTATTTTTAATGTTACTCTCTGAAGAGAAAATGCACATTTTGCTAATCACATATAGTAGGATACTGCAACAATACAAGTAGGAGGCAGAATCTAGCTACGCCACAAAAAACAGTGTAATGAACCTTAAACAAGCACTGTTAAAAAAAATTTAGAAAAGCTTTAGCTTTAAAGTTTTAGCTGGGACTTGAGCAGAAGGAAAGCAGTCACTTTATGTGAGGGGGTGGATAATGAGTAGCTGACATATATGTATTGCAAACTCTGGTACTTTGGCAGAATCAAACAAAAAGAACAGAAGAAAACAGCAGAAAAAGTCATTTCAAAAACCTTTCAACAGAAAAGACCAGCGTTATTCTTTTTCTGCCAGTCCATTGTAAAAACAGCACAATAACATCAATATGTTACAATTGTATAACGTAGTGCCTCAAAGGCTGCCACAAAAGTCTCATATAATTGTACTTTTTAAATAAGGTAACTTCATTAACTTGGAGCGCACAAGCTCTGTTCCTTGTCTCGCTAAAACAGATCTTGATAAATGACCAAAAAAGCACACAGTTATTATACATGCTTACCAGAGAGGGCACTTGTATAGTCTGAAAGTTAATGTTATCTAGTTAACTTATCTCTGTAGCTAGATAGCCACTAGGTTAGTACGTCTGCCGTGGTTGTTCACCCATTTAGTTGTAACTCAGCTACTTCAGAGGCACATTTTTTTCATCTACTATTGCCTCTGGTCACTGGTCACTGGTCCCATGAACTAGATTGGATGTGGTGGCGCTGTACTGATGAAAGCATCACCAACTCACTCAATTGTTACCAGTCATGCAAACTATTGCCTCTACTAGTAAAAAATACACCTAGTTCTTTAATTCATATTTTCTAATGAGCTAACTGGCTGGAATTAGTACTACAAGTACTACAACTAGTACTAGTACTACAACTTTAACATGCGTGAGAAGTAACTAGCTTGTGAGCAAAACATTTAATTGGCAGGCTTTTGATACAGTTCACTGAAGCACATGTCTGTGTTATATTATGTAGCGAGGATGCTTGCATGATCACCTCTCCATGTCACTGTCTGTTTTGCACTCTGAGGTTGTTCTCCTGAAGGCTTACAGGTGACTCTAATGTCCTTTTCCTCCATCTGTGTGGCTTGGACAGATTGCTCTTGGGTAACAGTTGGAGCCTTGAGAGGGAATGAGTAGAGTGTAGCCCAATGGGTCTTCCAGCTTTTCACCTAGACAGTTATAGTGCTAATCTCCGAATAAGAGACACAACCAAGCATCTCTCCTCTGAAGGTATAAAGTAATACAGCTTAATGTACAACATAGAGGGACAGGTGTGCATACGAGCGCAGGAGAAGTGCAAAATATCTCTTGTTGTGACTGCAGTATGTGTCCACAATGTGCCTGAATTTAATGTTCAGTTACTAAGACTGCAGCTTATCATGCAAACTAGCCCCTCTTACTAACTGCTCACTTGTGAGGAGCAGAGTTTAACAGAAGCAGAGAAGTAATGGAGCAGTCAACAAGCTTGTGACAAAACAGAAAGAAAAAATTTAGTGACAAAATTGAGAGTGTTAAGAATAAAATTAAAAAATAAGATTCTTTCCCACCAAAACATTCTATCATATTTTGCACTGCATCTTCTCTTGTGCGTTCTCATCTGGTTCTAAGAGCTTATACAGTGTTCAACTTTTGGTAAATATACTTTCACCACAAGGCTGATGTCGCTGTCTAGCCGCTGTGTCTGCTGCTGCTTTTAAAGAAAGTCTCTCAACAACACATCTTTTTAGACCCTAATACAAATTTACACCTGGTTTTGAAAGGTGGAGGAAAATCGGCGCAAACTGGTTGACACAAAGTTGCTCGACTTTAGTAAATTGAGTGGAGTGAATATGTAATCTACCACACTTGTAATATCCCCACACATTTTTTACACAAACCTCACTCAAATGAAAATGCATTTTGCGTTTTTTCCATGCACACGGCCCATAAACTGCATGTTTGGGTTGTATGCCATTTTTATACGTAAAACGCAAGCAGAATGTCTCCAGTTTGCAGCTGAAACTGCTGCAAAAGGCATCAGGTCCAGAATCTTAACTGTAATTTGAGTAGCATTGCCGCCTACTTATTTTAAAGTGTGTTCATTAAATATGAAGTTGTTTCCTGCAGTGGGAGTGCTGATATATACTGCATGTATGTATTATTTATACTTTATATATATCATAACAATGACATTATGTATTTAGATCACCCGCAGACAACTTCATATTTAATGAGCCTATTTTTCCATAGATATTTTTCAATATAATACTTCCCTGTGGGTTGTATTTTTCAGCCTCAGAGTTTGAAGGTATTTTTGCTGCATTTTTCCTAGGATTGCACTCTTCTGGACTGAGATTGA